CAATTAAAATAAATAACTAAATAAAGCAAATAAATATTAAATAAACAAATAAAACAAGTAATTAAAATAAAAACATAATAAATAATATACATAATCGATTGAAATAATTAATGAAATATTTAAATAAAAATGAAATCAAATGTTAAATAAACAATTAAAATAAGTAATCAAATAAAGTAAATAAATATTAAACAATAATCAACTTTGTGATTTCTCACGTCAATCATGAAACCACTGTAGTAATTTGTTACGAATTTTCTCAATCGTTGTGAGAATTGGTATCTAGATCCTTCTTAAATAAAGCATTGAGCGACTCTGCATTGAAAAACCAAGACATTGCTATATCATCTATTCGAATTGGAAACTCTAGATTCTTCTTAATTAATAAAATGCTTAAAAGAATAAATTAAAGTAATTGTGATTTAGGGAAATGAAAGTTTATTTCGAGAAAAGTTTTATGATTTATTTTAGTAATTATGATTTAGAGAAATGAAAGCTTTAGTTACAAAATTTAAAGGCCATTAGGTTCGATTTGTGCAGTCTTTGGAAATAAAAACCATACGTTTAGATAAATATTACAAATCTATCAAGTCAATTTTCATTTAAGTACCTACTCGATCGGGGAAACTTTTCGATACATGATTTTCTAAACTTATGTCTATATCCAGGAGTACGCGGTTGAACTTCGGGTGGCAACAAATTACTAAGTGCTACAATCACAATGTAATCGGAACTTCTCACTCGACTTCATTTGGTAGAGGAAATATAGTTTCAGCATTATTGAATAATGTATTGAGTGACTCCACATTGTTCAACGTCATCATGTTGTATCGAAATCCTGAAAAATGTTACCATGCAATGTTCGACTTCCATATTTGTTAGATATTCTCATGCACCAGTGTGATTTATGTTCTATTTCGCTCATGAACTTATCAAACTCTCCAAAGCTATGAGCTTCTGCAGCTTTCCTAAACAATATACATAACCAATTAAAAAAATTAATTAATGAAATATTTAAAGAAAAAATTAAATTAAATATTAATTTTTTATTTCAGTAAGTCTTTAAAATATATAATTAAATAAAGTAATTATGATCCTGTTTGATTACGATCCTATGAACAAATTAAAAGATCGTGTACTCGATCCAGCCTGTGAACTCTCACCAGACTCATGTCTTCATCTGATTACGATCCTGTGAACAAATTCTGTGTGTAACAATGAAACCATGGTGAATAGCACCTATCTCGAAAATAATGTTTAGATGTAAAAAGATTGATAGAATTTCGACTTATTCGGAACTAATAAATTTCATTCTCCAAATATTTTATGAAAGTAGAAGGTAGTAGTACTAGTTATGGAACTTTAACATTTTAACATGCTCCGTCTTTCATTCTTTTCAAACTACAAATAAGTTCATTAATCATTTAGGTATACAAGCAGTCATTTTTCTATCCAAACTACAACTTATAAGTGTATATTAAATTTAAAACAACAAATAAAAGAAAGAACAACAGAAAAATGACTTGAATGGGATCTTGAGACTTGCCGAAAGAAAAGAGAGAAAGAGGCAATTCAGGTAAATTAGCAGACTAACACGCAAAAACGACTGATAATTCATTCAGAATGGCAGACAAGCGTCAAATGTTAAGAAAATGAAAGTTTATGTCGAGGGTTCTGAAACTTTAGACGTGATTTGTTGATATAGTTTGTTGAATTATGATTTTGGATTGTTGAAAATACATATTTTTTTTCATTTCATATAATTTTGGAATAATTTTAGTTTAGTTTAGTTTAGATATCGGGTGAGGACATGTGTTGTGAACTTTTTAATAAAATTAATGTTTTCGTTGTTCTTTCTTTTATTTGTTGTTTTTAAATATATTATTTACTTATGGGTTGTGGTTTATATAGAAAAATGACTGCTTGTATGCCTAAATAATTAATGAACTTATTTGTGGTTTGAAAAGAACGAAAGACAGAACGTATTGATTGTGTGGAAATGTTAAAGTTACATAACTAGTAATACTACATTTTACTTTCATAAAATAGCTAGAAAATGTATTAGTTCTAATTCCCAGTAAGCCGAAACCCTATCAATCTTTCATATCTAAACATTATTCTTGAGATAATTGTTATAAAAAATTGTTCACATGATCGTAATCAGATAGAGATATGAGTCTGGTGAGAGTTCACATGTTGGATTGAGTACAGTCTTCTAATTTGCTTATAGGATCGTAATCAGACATGATCATAATTACTTTATTTAATTATTTATTTTAAAGACTTACTGAAATCAAAAATTAATGTTTAATTTAATTTCTTCTTTAAATATTTCATTGATTATTTTGTTTATTTAATTAATTATTTAGTCATAGTTATATTCAAAGGTCGATCGACTGGCTTTCGAAGCCAAAATAATAAGGAATCAATAATCTGGGCGAAAAATTACATGCCCTTCAACGGATAGACGGACCATAGGAATGATCGACGGAGTATGACTATATGTTCCTCATTGAGTCCTTCCAATACCGATACAACGTAACTTTTCCCAAAATGAGCTATCATGATATTGTCTAAGTGGTACTCTATTCTGCAAAAATAATACACGTTAAAAATATTTATAAGAAATTATCAACATTTATTATATTTTAAAATTTAGCAAATCAAATTACATGCATTTGTACGTAAGAAATAATATCATTTACTCGCACATTAAAAAGAGTAAATAAAAATTAAATAATACATAAATTGAATTAAATTAATGAAAAATAAATTAAATTCAAGAAAAAAATACATATATGAATGAGCAAAAAATTAAAAGAAGAAAAAAATGAAAAATAAATTATGGGAAACGAATTATATTAGAATTTTTTTTTTAAATTATAAGATTTAAATTTTGTTCTCTTAAAAAAATAAATAAATAAATAAATGGGCCGGCCCGCCCGGACCCTGACGGTCCGGGTCCGGACCATGGTCCGTTACGGACCACACGAGTCCGGATCCGAACTGCCCGGAATAATTTTTCGATTTCATTTTTATTTATTTTTCTGAATATTTTAAGAAGAAATTAAGTTAAATATTAATTTTTTTATTGAAGTTTTGTGAATATTTTAAGAAGTAATTAAATTAAATATTATTATTTTTTATTGAAGTAGGTGTTTTAAAAAAATAATTAAATAAAGTAGTTAAATATTAAGAAATAAAAAGTGTTTGATTTTTTAATTTATAACTTAAGGATATATTTGTCTTTTAAAACAAAATTATGCCATTGTAATTTTATAAACAACTTAAGGTTATTTTTGTCTTTTAACCTAGAAAAGGCTATTGTGAAGATTGGCAAAAATTTTGGATTAAAGTGGTGAAGTGGTCATTTGACCTGCCTATTCTTAAAAGTACCCCTTTTAACATGTTATAACTTTTGTTATAGTTGACCACTTCGAATGCCATTAATGAGTGAAAAATTAGGCCATGAACACTTCGAAATGGCATTAAGAATGCAATATTTTGACTTCATTTGACATCCCGACAAATGCATCAAAGTATACTATAAAAAAAAAAGGAAAAATTTTGTGGGGTCATTTGATCCCACACGACCCCATGTGGGTTCGTCCCTGTATGTAAGACATTAATTTCATTAAAGGCATATGAGAAAATTAAAGCTCGTAAACTTAAAAAACAATCAGATGTCCTAACCTCTTAGATAAGCAACTCAATAATCTCTCCGCTGAATATTTATTGATGGAGTTGGATGAAAAAATGTTGTTTTATTGGGATGCAACATACAAGGGGACAATAAAAAGGAATGACACTTTTATAGTTTACAAGACTTGAGGGGATACTTTGGTAATTTAGGCGAACATGATTTAAGGTCCATGACTTTATTTGTCTTTCAATTGGTTAGTGAGCTTTAGAGTTCAAAATCAGCACCAAACAAAGCACGAGCAACATCAGAGAAGCACCAAACAATTGGCCTATTGAAGTTAAAAATTTGAAATTTTAATTTTAAAAATTTCCTACTTCTATTTAAACTCTATTTCTACTTAAATCACTAACATTTCAGAATTATTTGTGATGTTATTGAAACTTTTAGAAGCTGAAATTTTGTCATATCCATCCTTAATCTCTTGTTTGCATATTCTGCTCGAGATGTCCGAGAATGTGATGACTGAATTTTGCATTAAATCGGAAAAAAATTCTATATTTTATTTCTTCTTTGGATGGCCACGAAATGATTGAGAAAATTAATTTTCACCAAGTGCATTTTAAATTTATTTTGCAATTAGCATGGGCGGAGCTAGAAGATAAGATTTGTGGGGGCAAAAAGAAAAAAAAAATAGTTGTGGTGGCAAAAATTGAAAACTACAAGGACTTCTTTGAAAATTTTGAAAAAAAAAAATCGAACAAAGTATTGAATTTTCAAAATTACTTTGGGGCACCTCCGCCCCTCTGTTAATGTACATTATATATATCTAATTGCGTATACGGCCAATTGGTCTAAGCAAAGATGAATTATTAAAAAAAGTAAATTTTGGAAACTGATAATGGTGTAACAAGGTCTTTTTCAAAATAAAATATAAATATATTTCAACTATAATATTTGTATAATCAAATGTAGTATATGTAGCACTAAAGTGTTCAAATTTAAGTTTATGGTCACTCGGTTAATTATTGGAAGTCTGAATATCCAAATATTTGATATGCAAATTTATGTTGAATATATACAAATGTAATCAGATAGTTATTAGTTGTGTATGATTCGAATTCCAAAAGAAAATGCCCATTTGAATTGCAAAGTAAAATTTGGCAAACATCTTGCTTAGGATTTTATACTTATCTCTTGTGCATTATCTTAAAGCCATTATTAAAGCAAGGACAGATGCATTGTTGAGGTGGATAAATATTTTTTTCCTCGAAAAAAGCAATGATTTTTAGCTTTTGCTGAAATTTTCAACATTTGCTTTGTTGACATGAAGGCAAATGAAATTATGTGAGAGAGAGAGAGAGAGAGAGAGAGAGCGGAGCTTTTTCTTCGTTTGTTTTTGCTGATATGTTCAACCTTTGCCTTTTATTTTTTGAAAAACTTGAAACAAATTCACTCTCATTATTCTCTCTTTGCTCAGCCAATTGCCCAAACCAAATATGGAGGGTCTCTCTTTGCTCGACCTTTTTCCCAAACCAAAAATGGAGGATCTCACTTTGTTTCCGTCTGAATCAAATATGGAGGATCTCTCTTACGAAAATCTGTCTCGTCTAGTCAAAATCCCAGATCTCCTTTCTCGTTTGCTACCTTTAAGGCTTGATGGAGGAGAAAAAAATGTTAGCTTTCAATGGCTCGGCCCACACTTTCTAACTTTTCTCAAATATGTTAAAGAATTATTGCGATGCTTCTATCCAGACTGCTGCAGACCATTTACTATGCACAATCCATATTGTCTGTTGAAGCGTCTCGATGATTCAGCCTTCGATTGCATCTTATACGAAGAGATCTTTTCTCATCACGATAATGAACATTACAAAATCTTTTTACAAATCGTTCTCACTTCCATGCCAAAGCTTAACGAGTTTTTCACGATTCAAACATCCATCACAAATAATTTCAAAGTAAATAAACATTGGGAAATCTTCATCGAGTTTCTTTTTGAAACTATTCGAGAGTTGCTTAGTTGCCATAAGGATTCCACCGTTCTTGTGAGTAATCAACTCGAATTTCTTCAGAAGGGGTTGAAATTTCTGCTCACCTTTATTTTTTATCCAATTCCAAGCTATGATGAAGAACAGATGAAGAGTATATTCACAGAAATTGAAGCTGTATTTAATGAAGCAGGACTTTTCTTGCATTCATTCTTTTTCACCACAGATCTTGTTACCACCACCAAAGTGGATCTTGCAATTTCTGGTCTGTTAGAAAGGATTGAGATTGTGCTAGTGAAGATTAAATATTACAGTATTGCAGTGTCAAGTGAAGTTGTTGGAAGCCTACAAGTTGCAGGAAGTCCAAGTGAAGTATCATCATCCCAAGATAACAGCAGTCCCATGGTAGAAGAGATCGTTGTGGGCTTAGAGGACACGACAACACAAATTGTGAGCAAGCTTGTTGGAGGACCAAACTACCGCCAGATTATTTCCATCGTTGGAATGGGTGGACTTGGCAAGACAACATTAGCAAAGAAAGTATACAATGACTCCATAGTTCGGTCCAATTTTCATAAGTTTTCTTGGTGTGTTGTTTCTCAAATTTATAAAAGAAGAAAGCTGTTGACTGATATTTTGAGTTCTGTAAGTAACCTTAACGGAGACGACATTTCAGAAAAAAAAGATGAAGAGTTGGAGGGACTTCTTTACAAAAGTTTGAAGGGTAGAAGATACCTCATTGTTGTGGATGATCTATGGGAGAAAGAAGCATGGGATGATTTGAAAAGGTTATTTCCAGATGATAGCAATGGAAGCAGAGTAATGTTTACCAGTCGGCTGAAAAATGTGGCATTGGAAATTTCTCATGTTGTCGTTGAACCTTCTCCTCTGTTCCCAGACGAAAGTTGGAATTTATTAGAGCAGAAGGTGTTCAAAAAAGAATGTTGTCCTCAAGAGCTGCAAGATATTGGAAAGCAAATTGCAGCAAATTGTAAGGGATTACCACTTTCAGTACATTTGATAGCTGGAATTCTTTCAAATATGGAGAAAAAAGAAAACTCATGGCAACACGTCGCTAAAAGTTTAAGTGATTACATTTTCCAAAAAGCCGACGACTACATTCCCACACTGAAACTTAGCTACAACCATTTACCAAAACACTTGAAGCCATGTTTCCTCTATCTTAGTGCATTCCAGGAGGACGAGAAGATTCCAGTTCGGAAGCTATTATTACTATGGATAGCCGAAGGACTGATAGAGAAAAGGGAGCAAAAGACCTTAGAAGATGTAGCAGAGGAATATCTAATGGAACTGATTAACAGGAGCCTGCTGCAAGTTGTCCAACGAAGATCTGACAATGGAGTAAAAGTATGTACTCTTCACGATCTAGTACTCGATATGTGCAGCAAAATGGTTGAAGAAGATGAAAATTTTCAATTTCAACAGTAAGTTAACTCGCTCTCTTTCTAATTCCTTCTTGTTTTACTTCACTTTTCCAATTTTTCCTACTAATTTGTCGTACTTATGTCAATGATGCTGCTATCCCTGATGCTGGTTGATGTGGTTATACTGATGATGATCCTCGATGTTCTTCTTATTCTACATCTCTAGTCGATTCTTGATATCTAAGCATCACCATCTCCATCGCTTGTATATGGGTAGTTTTCATCACGTCTGGGTATCTGAGAATATTTCCGATGCCTTCTCCATTGTTTATAATTTGGAAAAAATTAGGATCTTGGATTCAAGCAATGATGACATTGTTCGACTGGGATTCAAAATTATGCCTGACTTGAGGTACTTGGAATTTTCAGAATTAGAGCCATCAATAGGCAAACTCCATAACCTTGAATATCTTTGTTTGCATTACTTAAATGAAGTACCAACATACCTTCTCAATATGCCTAAGTTGAGACATCTACGTGTCGGTGGCAAGTATGATGGTGTAAGATTCACTAAGAATAGTGATGGCTTCCGAATAAATTGCCTACAGTCCCTTTGTTACATTCGGATTGTCGATTCGGAAGATGAAGAAATCTTTAGATGTTCACCTAATCTTCGTACACTTAAATGCGTATCACCACCAGGCAATTACTTTCCTGATCTCAACTTTCTTTCTCAGCTTCAATCACTCACAATTTCAAAATATGCATTCGAAGGTGATTACTCGGTGGTTAAATTTCCTATGAATATCAAAAAGCTTACTCTTTCTGAAATTTGTTTGCCTTGGGAAAAGATGTCATTAATTGGGATATTGCCCAAACTCGAGATTCTGAAATTAGGATACAATGCCTTTATAGGAAAAATTTGGGACACCAATGATGATGAGTTCCAAAAACTCAAATTCCTTAAGTTAGATTCGCTAGACCTTAAACAGTGGAATTCGTCACACGATCATTTTCCTGTACTTGGACGATTGGTGTTGCAAAAATGCGAAGGTCTGGAGAAGATTCCTTCTGAGTTTAGTAACATTCCAACACTAGAGAAGATTGAGGTAACTTATTGTGGCAAAAATGTCAAAGCTTCAGCTCTGGAAATTCGTCAAGAACAACAGGATTATGGTAATACAGAGATTGATGTAACCATCAGTAGCTTTTGATTGTAAGTCAAAGCTCATCCCATCATTTTCTTTGTTCCTGAAATAAATATTTTTATTATTCATTTTCAAAATTTTTTAATTTCCTTGCAAGAGATTCCTTTACATCCCACACCTCATGATTAGAAAATAATTTTGGGCTCCATGTCAATTGTTAGTTGTTTTTCTTGTTCGCAATTATTTTCTTTGTAGTTGACGTGAAGTTACAACTTCTTTATTGTAAGTAAATTAATGTGAAGTTACAACTTCTCCACACAAATATTTTGATTATTGGGGCAACATTAAGGCGCCAAACTTTAAGATTCTGAAATTAGAGTTGGATGTCTTTGAGGGATAACCTGGAACACAAAGGATAATGAGCTCCAAAAGCTCAAATTCCTTGAATTATTGTGTCAGATCTTGGACAATGAGATTCCCTAAATGATCATTTCCATGTACTTGAACGACTGGTGTTGAGATTTTGCAAAAAACTAGAGAAGATTCCTTATGAATTTAGCTATAAATTGTTATTCTTTAAAGTTATAGATGCTTTATAAATTATATAATACTCTTTAAAAAATAGAGAGCCTCTTAAAGATGCTCAATACATGCTCATATCATTTCTATGAAGATGCAGGAGGTTATAGGATTTTTTTGCCAACCAGTTGCCTACTAAAATGCTCGAAAACCATGAGCTACGGCCGCAATCGATTGCTCTTGAGAAATGAAACATCTAAAATCCAGGCTTGGACCCAACCCGTCGACAATGAGAATGCAGTGACAAATGAGAATATGGGGGATAGGCTATTCGAGACAGAGGTGCGGGTTGAACAAGCCAGGGCAAGAGAAGCTGAGAAACAGAACAGCTAGATCACCTGGCTCGCTTCTACTCTTTTCTTTGACTTCCTCAGTTTCGATATGCCCCTTATTTTTACTCATCTTGTTGGAAAACTGGAGAAATTGATACTTGTGACTTCCTATTTCTTTTATGCAGCTAGATAAGTTGGCAGGGAGATTGGCATAAGTTGAAATGCTGAGTCATAGCAGGGAGGGACATATTTGTTTATTTTCTGCATTCAATACAACTTTTGTTTGGTTGGCAATGGAGTTTGATGAAAATCGTTTATTTGTTGGGATACAAAGTATTAGTGGGAAATAATAATTCACAATGAATGGTACTTTTGATATTTTGCTAGACGTGTGAAGGTTTACTTTGGTAATTTAGGTTAACATGGTTTGAGAGCCGTAACATTCCATTTGGTCTGAGTGCTTTGGAGTTCAAAATAAGCCATAAATAAAGCATAAGCAAAATTAGACGCCAAAACCACAGTTGGCACAATTTGATCAAACCTCGGTACTCAGTGAATCGGGGTCCAATGTACTTGAAATTATGATACATTTGCACATCACATTAGCCTTCAAATTTGTACGGTTACAACTGTTCATTTATGTGATATTTCCATCTAAATATAGACATAATTTAGTGAATTTTTTCCTCTTCGTTGTTGGACGTGAGATGTATTTTCAAGAGTAAAAATCTAGAGGTAGTCATAGTTGTATGTTTCTAATTTTGTGCTTGGAAAAGGTCTTCTTTCTCAAGCCAAGTGGGTTCATGATTAATAAAAAAATTCTCTCCGATTGATAGAGAAATAGTAAAAGGTGTACCATAAAAATTAGGGACAACTTTGAAGATGGCTGGTAGATTCTTCCTATTTTTCATAATAGCCTTTCTTATTAAAAGTACTATATTGCCCTTAATGAAATTATTTGCAAGATTTATCTTATATCTTTAAGGAATTGTCAATCAGGTCCTATATCTATATTTTTCAATCTTTTGAACACCTTTAAATATTCTTTATATTTTAATAATTCTTCAAAGATTATAGGTTGACCTTTCTTAGTTATATATCCATTAAATAATCCTACTGAAATTTCTTCTTGGATATCCGTATGTTTAATTATAATATCTTCTACTTTCCTTATTTCTTTATGAGTTCTTACAGGATCAAAACCTATATCATTCTTACAACTATAATCTATATCTCTATATATTTCTTCAATCTTTTCTTTACCAATAGGGAATATAACATCAGATTTTACATCTAATTTAAGCAGAAAAGAAACATCTTCTTCATCTAAAAATAAAATGAGATTATTATCATTATTAACAATAGAAGTGGATGCTTGTGAATTGTTCATTAAAGATAATTAAAGCATAAGCATGTAAAAATAAGTAAATAACTTACAGTAATCAAGTGGAATAAACAGGTTTTCCCTCCAGTATGCTCTTATAGATGCTTTGCATGTACTTAATCAATCTTCTGAATCAAGTAAAGATTAAAAATGTTTTTGAAATCATTTGGGTCCACAACTGCTTCCGCAAAAGGCTTTTCAATTAAGGTTGCATTTCTCATTCTAGAGAACTAGCCGTGTTTCCACAGACGCTATCTCACAGTATCCAGAGTCTCTGTTTTCACCTCTATCCAAACTCTTTTCAGAATCAA